TATATGTAACGGGCTTGTAACCAGATTATATCAAGATGTTCTATAAATTAGCAAGAAAAACATAAAACCTGCCATATGAAGATGGGTAAAAAACTTGAACGGATCTTTTACCAAAGAGGAACTCCTAATAGCCAATGATGATATGAAAAGCTGTTCAATCTCATGAGTAATGAGGAAAACAGAAACCAAAATCATAATGAGATATCATTATGTCCTCATCAGAATGACTCCTACTGAACGTCTGTTGTCCCCATGCAGATAAGGATGCGTGATGGCAGGACCGTGTGCACTTCCGGCAGGTGCCACTTCAGAAAGCGATTCAGTGTTACTTAATAAAGCTGAGCGGGCCCATCCTGGGGCCCCAGCAGCCCACCTGCCTTGTGCCCCAGGGAGACACGTTTAAGGGCGCAGTGTGGCTTGTAAAGGCCGCAAGCTGGCAACAACCCAGATGCCTATCAACAGTGGGACGGAAGGTATGATGGGAGACCAAGCAGGCACCAAGTGACAGAGGACACCAGTGAAGCTGGGACACGGAGGCCGAGGGACAGACGTCGGCCACCACCATGAACGTACAGTTCCAAAGAAAAGCTCAACTACAGTTTAGGCACTGAAGTGGAAAAGTGCTAAGAAAAGCAACGACGTAATGACTCCCAAAGTCAGGATGGAGCAGCAGGAAGGGGCTCTGACAGGGAGAGGGCACACAGGGCTTCTGGGAACTCCACACTTCGACCTAGGTAATGGTTATACCAGAGTTTCCTATAAAATAACTTCAGTAAAATATTTTAGTGCATCCGTATGCATCTCTATTTTTTATTTTTGACACAAAGTTTTGTTCTTGCTTTTTTAATTTTTTTCTTTAACGTTTATTTTTGAGACAGAGAGAGACAGAGCATGGACGGGGGAGGGGCAGAGAGAGAGGGAGACACAGAATCCGAAGCTGGCTCCAGGCTCTGAACTGTCAGCCCAGAGCCCGACGCGGGGCTCGAACTCACGGACCGCGAGATCGTGACCTGAGTTGAAGTCGGACGCTCAACCGACTGCGCCACCCAGGCACCCCTATTCTTGCTTTTTTTTAAAGAATCCAAGAAACCCATGAATTCCCCTCACCACACTACAGGGGGATGTCCTTGTGAGAAGAACCTGACTTTTGAGAAGGCCAGAAGGTCCACGAAACCACACACACACCCCGTGGGGGAGCACCCAGCTGTCCTGCTTGTCTGAACCCCTTCGGTGGGCGATGCTCCCCTGCAGGGGTCAGAGACAGGAGGCATCCACAGTGCTGCCTGAATGAGGAAGGGAGGAAGCGGGAGGAAGGACTCACATGCAGAATAAGGCTGACAGGCACCAGGGCTCTGAAATAACATACCCCAAGAAGTGCTGAAGTCCTCTTCATTTCTTCTCCGTTCACCCGAATGCTGCGGCTTTCCATCACTGTGATTCAAAAAGCAGAGCAGATGAAATTTGCCCTGTATCTATCAATCAGCCAATCATTTCTGTGAAAGACTCAAGAATGAGGAGCAAGCCTCACCCCCTGACGGGGACACAACGGCAGCACCTGCCACGTCCGACCTTGACAAACTGTCCACTGGGGCCAGTGTTCGAGGCCAGCACTGGAGCCAGTAGGTATGGGGACGCACACTGGCCGGCCACACCGAACGGAGCCGCTACTGGCCAGGCCAGCTGCAGAGCGCTGGGCGGGGCTCGGCTCTCCTAGTGCCCAGCAGGACCTGGGTGCCCAGAGGGCTACAAGGCAAAGGCAGAGGAGAGTCCCGTAGCCCTTCTAGGGGCTCTCTCCAAGGGGTGGGCCCAAACACCCACAGTCTTGCGGAACAGGCTGAAGGCCTCCTCCCACACTGCTGCTCTCAAGGGCACACACTGCCCCTCGCCCAGGCACTCAGCAAAGCCAGACAGCACAAAAGGAATCCCCCGTGACTGAAATGTCAGAACCTTCTAGATCAAGAGGTGATGCAGTCCAACCCCTCTTGTTACAGAAGGGGAAAATAAAGGGCTTGTTCCCTCTCAGTGCCCACACGACACCCTGCCCACCCCTAAGTAAGACAGCAAGAGTTGCTCTCAAACAAGGTAAAGAACTCTCTAGAAAGATGACTGGCCCTCATGTTTAGGGTACCTTACCTGCCAAAACCGGTATCAGAGGAAGCTCCGAAGTACAAAATAGTTGCCATAAACCGTAAACCTGTTGCGCAGGAAGAAATTATCATCAATTTAACTTTTAAATTACTGGCACCTGCATTCTGCTCAACAGCCTACTTGATCTCAGGGAGGAGGAATTCCAGCACCTCTCGCGTGAACACGGGCCCCTGCCCAACAGCCGCCCTCCCCCCGCTTCCTAGTAAAACTCCTATTTCCTGCAAGTACCCTATTTTATTACCAGGACCTCATAGAGATATTTAGAAATATCAGGTAGGACAAACCTCACTCCCAATTTTCTTTAATCCTTCTCATTTTTAAGTGTGATTTAGGTATTTTTAGACTTTTAGCCTTCCATTTTCATTTCCGAATAGGTTTACTGAATTCACAAAAGCGTAACTAGAATTTTCATTGGATTTTGCATCGGCTTTGTAGAGTAACGTGGACAGAGGTGAAATCTTTGTTATTAGGTCACGACGTCCTCCAAGAGTATGAAACATCTCTGCATTTGTTCAGACCACCTTCATGCCCCCATCAGAGCTTCTGTCTTGTTCATCCCTTCCTGCTGCTATCTGAGAGGCCCCGGCCTTGTCCGCCCCTCTGCCGCCTGTACCTCCAGGCCCAGCGCTCTGTGCTTTGCCCTCGAGGAACGGCTGATGTCCTCCAGGCCAGCAACTGGCTCCTCCTTGGCTCTCGGGCTGGTTCTGCCCATCTGGGGCGGCAGGGGAGAGAGGTGGGCTTCTTCTCTCCCACTGGACCCGACCCACCAGCCCACAGTCCTTGGCCTGCAGCCACAGCTTCTGGGGCCTGGCTCCCCCACCGGCAGCCCCTGCAAGGCCACTGCCCTCCCAGGGTCCCGTTGACAGCTCACCCTCCAAGCCCGGGGGTGGAAATGCTTCCAGCCAGTGCCTGCCCTGGAGGCTTCTGTGTCTCTTGCTGGTCCCCTCACCCCTGGCCTTGCCTCAGTACACAGTCCCTTCCTTCAACTCTTCTAGATCATTCCCTCGAATGCCCTCTGCTTCCCAATGAGACCTTGAGTAGAGCGGTCTCCATCTCACTATTAACTAAAATAAACGCTCAGCTTTGATGTTAACTGCAGCACCAGAAATGTTCCAATTGCATTGGTGGCTTTTAAAACTCCTACAATTGTTAACCCACAGAAAACATTTTTAAAACTTCAGGTCTAGGGTCACCTGGGTGGCTCAGTCAGTTGAGCGTCTGACTTCAGTTCAGGTCATGATCTCACTGTTCATGAGTTTGAGCCCCACGTTGGGCCCTGCACTGTCAGCACAGAGCCTGCTTTGGACCCTCTGTCCCCTTCTCTCTGCCCCTCCCCCACTTGCGCTCTCTCAAGAATAAACGTTTAAAAAAAAACCACTTCAGGTCTTATCATCTGACTATCCTTCTATGAATGATGTGCAGCTTAACTTGGCCTTAGAGCTCAATGTCCCATTTCTTACGCACTCGAAGATGCTGTGAGTGTGGATGGGAAGGAATGATGCTGTTGGGGGACAGTGAGCAAGAGTGGCCCGCTGACCCCAAGTTATGATAAAATGCCTTGCCTTCAACTGAGAACAAAGGCCCATTGTGAGTCTGCAGAGTATCTTCAGGTTCACACGTACATTCTGGTTCTTTCTTTATTTTTTTTTTAATTTTTTAATTATTTATTTATTTATTTATTTATTTTTGAGACAGAGACAGAGCATGAGCAGAGGAGGGGCAGAGAGAGAGGGAGACACAGAATCATAAGCAGGTTCCAGGCTCTGAGCTGCCAGCACAGAGCCCGACGCGGGGCTCGAACTCACAGACCGGGAGATCATGACCTGAGCTGAAGTCAGACGCTTAACCGACTGAGCCACCCAGGCACCCCCATTCTGGTTCTTTAAAAGATCACGAGAATTGAAGATGACGCAAACTCGGCAGCAATGTTCGCCGCGATCCAGGAAGTGACAAAATAGACGCAAATGGGTACTGGCCGGTAGCGTGAGTCTTTCCACGGCAGACGTGACACCGTGGCATCTAACACCTCAAGCACATGAGCTCCCATGCAAATGCAAGACGCTACCTGGAGCCTCACACCTTCTCCCTTACCCGGTGTTTCCTCATTTTACAGGAACCGTGGAGAAGCTAAGTGCCCGAGGAGCATAGATCATACAGTGGGGGAGACAGGACCGTGCCCTCCACACGGCCACCTCACCACCCGTCCTGGCCCGGACGACACCCACAGACCCCTGGGAGGGGACAGATGGGGCGGGGGACAAGCTGCAGCCCCCCTCCCCCCCCCGCACTCAGTCTGACTCTCCTCCTGAACACCTCATTCTGCCAGACGACTCCCCACACTCTGCACTGGGCTCAAGGCCCCAAGCCGGAGAAAACTCAGGACCATGAGCTGACAGTAGGTCGCTGTAGGCTGGCATTTGCTGTCCAGTCATCCTGGGCCTTGGTGCTCCTGCAGCCTGGCCAAGGGCACCAGGCACCGTGAGCAGACTGTCCACTCCTGCCCGGAGAGCCTTCCACAGGATAGAGCTGACCCCGCAGACCCCACTTTGAGTGGTTCTCCAGTTGGGCCTCCTCAGGACAAGGCTGAGCTCTGTACTTTCCTGACAGAGCCCCTGACACAGCTCGCCCTCTTCCACACCTTCTGCCCCATTCTCCCGGTCCCCTCCTGCACCCCTGCTACTTCCTCCCTCTGCTCCAACTCCCCCTGCATTCTGACAGCTCACAGCACCTCCTCAGTCAGCTTGCTCCTCCCTCCACACTGCAATGGACACATTTAGCTAAGGAGGCTGCTGCTTTTCTTCCTGGAGCGTGACGAGGGCCTGGGGGTGAAGCTCCCCGTGCCCACCCCTCACCTGGCTGAGCCCACAGCCCCCTGGGTAGCCGCTCCAGCCCGGGTGCAACGTCCTCTGCAGCTGGTCCTTTGTTCCCTGCAGCCGCTCCCATCCCAGATGCACACTAGAAAGAAATTAGACTTCAGAGTCAGAAAGCACCCTTTGAACCACAGCCTCAGCTTAACTTTGGGCAAGGTGCCTGCACACTGGCCTCTCTGACCTTGGTCTTCTCATCTGTAAAGTGGGGCTGGTAATACCGAGGTGAGCACATCCCTGTTTCAGTGACAGTGTCTCAGCTTCTGTTTGGGAAAGTTTCCTCTTCGTCCTCGTAGGACGGACCAGTAGAACTCACCTCCGTGCTGTGTCCCCGCCAAGGGGCACACGTGGGGCACAGTGAGGGAAACGAGGCACTCCTAGTGCTGAAACTGAGTCTTGGACAAAAGTGACGTGTGGATGTGAAGTCACGGCTCACTGCCGGCCCCCGGGCCTCAGGGCCTTCCCTTCCCAAGGCCTGGTCCTGCTGTTCCTCTGATCTGGGAGCGCCCCCATGTCCCTCTGGCAGATCTCTTTTCAAATTAAGGGCAAGTGAGTTTCTGCACTGTTAACCCCAAGTCCCTACCTGACTGTCTCCCTCCCTCCCAGAGCGCCCAGGATGAGGTGCAAACCCCAGCAAACCCCACCCCCAGCCTCAGTGCTGGCACATCGCCAGCCGCATGGCCCCAAAGGTTCCCAGCCGCGGCCAACGTCGTGCTCCCTGAGCACCCTGCACGCTCTCCCAGCTGTGTTTCCAGCACGTAGCTGCTGATTTACAAGCAGGAAGCCTGAACAGAGTGGCCCCACTGCAGCGGCCCATGCTGCTCCCATGGCACTGCCTCCTGTGGGGCCTGCTGTGGGGCCGTGGGAGGCTCTGGGCCAGGCTCCAGAGCTGTGAGCACTGCGGCTCCCACAGACGCGGTCCTAACACCTGGGTGCCTCCCCAGGAAGGGCTGGGACGCTCCTGAGCACAAGGGCCGAGGTGAGGCCACAGCCTCTGCCACAGAGGCTGGGTCAGCAGCACGAGGAGTTTATGAACTAGCAGCCCTCAGGTCACAGCAGGTGGCTCTCCGACACCAGAGGGGCCGTTTAGAAGAATCACACTGTGAAGAGGGCCTCCCGGGAACAGTTTCCTGAAAGAATCAAGTCACCTGTCCTTACTCAGTATCTTCCACCAGAAATGTCAGGGTAGAAAGCATTTGTGCAAAATAAGTGAAAACGAATGTCAGCAATGTTCTTTCTGCTACTAGATTGTCTATGAAGTGGAAAAAGTTTCTAGGAAAAAATTCAGGTAAAGCCTTATCTTAACACAACTCACCACCACATTTCTTGAGGAATTCCCGTACGTGCTGCTCACGGTGACAGATATGGCGCTTTCGAGGTATTTTGCCACTAAATCTTCAAAAGAAGGTGTGGCATCCTCAGGATCTATGAGCTGTGCGGCAATTCCGGGGTCTAGCCCTACGAAATGCACAACTACAGAGAAAAAGAGCATTTAGTACTGTACGGAAAAGAAGGACTGTCCTTGTCCTGCCCTTACGAGGTCCTCAAGGCTCGAATCAATACCAGCACCGCCATCCCCTCAAGTCCCAGCGGTGAGAGCCAAGGGATGCTCTGCCACTCCTAGGGAAGTCTGAACCTTTGGGAAGAGTGGCCTCCACAGCCCAGGTCCCGCACAGGCAATCTCCGTGGGGGACAGACCCTGGGCAGCCGCAACACTCTGAACAAACGCGGAACAGGAAGCTCTCAAAAATGTTGAGAGACACGGCGGTGAGAATCCTCAGGCACTCTTCCTGCCCCCTCTGCCCCTGCTCCCCAGCTTTCTGACACACGCCCTCACCGGGCTGGCTTCCCAGGCATCCCTGACCCCACTTCAAGGTGTCCAGGAACCCAAGTGTCTTGAGTAGAAGGAAAAGCATACACGGCTCATCACCGAATTCTGGGTGGGGGTGGATGGGCAGTGCATGTGAAGGCACGGACGCCTGGCATTCAGGGTCCCCTGACATGCGGAAAACTCCTAGAGACCCACAGACCTCTGCTGCACGGGATGTGTAAGAAGAACCGGGCGCTAGGCCACCCCTGGCAGTCAATGCCCCCACCTTGTGGCTTTCTCATCTGGAGACCCTGGGAAGAGGTTCCTGTGAGCATCTGTGAGACGTGTGGGAAGATGTTTTGTGAAAAATAAAAATGGCATTTGCTAAATAAGTTTCAGTACCAGAGTATTTTAGACACGGACAGGGGAGCCATAAAGGTTGGGGGGTGCTGATCAACAGAGATAAATCTGAGTCCTAAGTGATTGCTTTTCAAGTTACTTTAACACTTTGAATAATGTTACACAAAAATAAGTTTGCTTTCAAACAAATCTGTGGTCTTAGATCACAATACACTAAATATTATTTTTCTGGCATCTTTAAATTATGCCAGTCTAGGAGAGTCACGTTTGCCAACGCACCAAGTATCATGACTTTTTTGTTTCATGTCTTTGTCTCACCTGGCACCTTGGACGGAGAACAGTGGCAGGCGCTCTGGACGCCTGCACCTGCCGCGGCCATGCGTGGCCCCGCCCCACACTGCCCGGCAATGCTAACTGACCCCACTGGGCTAGTTGACTCTACGTGCCTTTTCAAGGCTCAGCCAACATATATTTTTGAACACTCTTGGGGAAGATGTGACAGCACCGAAGGGTCGCGGGGGCTGGTTGCTGTAAGCTCACAACTAACACATCAAAGCCCACCGGGCAAACCCCACGATGGGGAGAAAACGCCAGTAGTGGACAAGGAAAGGCCAGCGAAACAGGTTTGAAACGAGCTAAGAAAAGTTGAGAAAAATGATAAAAGTTATGAAAAATAACTAAATTAGAATTAGAAATACTTAGAAAAATAAAAATTGAACAAAGAAAGGAAGGGGTTTGGGAAAGGGAACTAAAACAAACAACTGTTTCAGAAACAAAACGGAACCTGCAGTACACAAAAGCCAGGAGACAAGGCTGCACACGAAAAAGACGATGGAAGAGAGGAATTTCCTTAATAAAAGGCAACTGAGATGGAAAATAGATTCTAGATAAACACGCATCAATGTACACAATAAGAGTTCAAACATCGCAGAGAAGATAAAAAACCAGGCATCATGTACCTCCTGACAGGAGGACACGCCTAGGGTCAGGGGTCAGGGTCAGGGTCAGGACATAGTCTTGCCTTCCCCAAATCAGGCCTGAAATCGGACCAAGCCTCCAGATCTAAGTGTCAATTTACAGAATAGAAGAGTGAGAAGGACACTCTAAGTGGCAAGAAGGGGGCACGTTCCCAAAAATCTAGACTCTGGGCCATCGTACGTGACAACCTGGTTCTATCCACAAGGACGAAGTAATTTCAGGAAGACAAAACAAGGAGAGAGAATATACAGATGAAAAGAAAGGAAACTTAAGAAAAATATCACACCTATCCCAGCTTCAGGATAACCTAACCCTTGTTTGGATCTCAAGTCATGCAAAGTGTAAACACCCAAACCAAGCAAACAAAATATTTAAAGACAACTGGGGCAGTGCAGGCACCGACTGGATGTCTAGTAACACTGAAAGATCACTACGAATTTTGGGGGGAGATGATGATGGCATCATCTTAAAATGAAACTCTCGTGTCTCATCATGTAACTGAAATATTTACAGATTAATCTCATGATGCTTGGAATTTGCTACAAAATAATTGGGGGGGGGCGGTTTGGAAATGTGAGGCGTGACAGAGGAGAGAAGATTGGACAGGGTGATGGGTACTGCGTTGTTCTCCAATACCACCTCCGACAACCGGTGTGTGGGTCTGTCCCCCCCACAGCTGTCAGCTCTCTGCACCCGCTGCGCTTAGTGCAGATGCCGGAGGCTGAGGGCTCCGCCTCACGAGACCCCCGCCTCCTCAGATGCCTCCTGCGCCTCCTACCGACCAGCTGCGAATCGGGGCTCCCGTTACCCCCTCCCCGGGCCCCGTGGTCGGCCAGCGTGGCTCACGGGACTCGGGAAAGCACCTCTCTTACTAATACCTGTTTATTAGGAATGACACAACTCAGGATCATCCAGAAGGAAGAGACACGCAGGGCAAGGGACAGGGCAGGGGGAGCGCCAGCACCCAGATGTGCTCAGCAACCTGGGAGCTCTCCGGATCCCCCCCCCCCCCCCAACCCCGTGCAGGGCATCTATGGAGGTCCCATTGCACAGGTGTGACTGATGAGACTGCCAGCCCCTGAGACTGACTGCTCCCCATCCCCTCTCCCTCCCTGGAGTGGGGGTGGTGGCGGAGCGGGGGCGGGGGTGGAGCTTGCAGTCCCACCCACTGAGCAGGGCGTGGTTGTGGTTTTGTGGTCCCATCGAGAAGCGGATGGGGGCCTCAGCTCTGAATACTATCATTAGCACACAAAAGACACTCTTAGCACTCTGAGGATTGCAAGGGTCTTAGGAACTGTGTTCCAGGAAACAGGGTCAAAGACTAAATATATAGTTCTTACTGTATAACAGGTACTTTTGTACATGTTGGAAATTTCTGTACAATCAAAAGTTTTTTTCCAACATCGTATTATGAATATTTTCAAACATGCAGACAATTTAAAAAGAATTATACAGTGAACATTCATACATCTACTACCTAGATCCTATGATGCGCATGCCTGTTCATCTAGTGAAAAAACTTAACAATTTTTTTACTATATTAAATGAAAGATAAAAACCGTGTTCTATATTGTTTTGATGTTAATTACTCTGGACTTCATTATTTTTAATCTAATTTAGTCTAATTTTCATTCCAGTTAGTGAACACACATTTAATTAATGTCAGGTGCACAACACAGTGGTTCAACAGCTGCATAGAATGGCCAGTGCTCGTCACCACAAGTGCCCTCCTTAGTCCCCATCGCCTATTTCCGCCAGCCCCAGCTCCCCTCTGGTAGCCAGCGGTGTGTTCTCTGTAGTTAGGAGTCTGTTTCTTGATTTGCTCAGTTTTCTCCTTTGCTCATCTGTTTCTGAAATTGCACGTATGAGTGAAATCGTATGGTATCTGTCTTCCTCTGACTTATTTCACTTGGCAAAATGCTCCATCCACATCACTGCAAACGTCAAGATTTCACGGTTTCCGATGGCCGAGTGACATTCCACTGTACACACACAGCGCACCTCCTTTACCCACTCCTCGGCCGACGGACACAAGGCTGCCTCCGTAGCTTGGCTATTGTTCTGCTGGTATGAACACTGGGGTGCGTGTGTCCCTTTGAACTAGTGTTCCTGTATTCTGTGGGTAAATACCCCGTAGTGTGATTACCGGAACGTAGGGCAATTCTATTTTTAATTTTGGGGGAACCTCCACACTGTTCTCCAGAGCAGCTGCACCAGTTTGCATTCCCACGAGCAGGGCACGAAGGTTCCCCTTTCTCCACGTCCTTGCCGACACTTGTTATTTCTTGTGATTTTGATTTCAGCCATCCTGACAGGTGTGAGGTGCCATGTCACTGTGGTTTTGATCTGTATTTCCCTCATACTGAGTGATGTTGAGCATCTTCTCATGTGTCTGGACTTTAGTTTAATTCTCAGGGAGTTTAAAGCTATTTGTGGTAACAACAAATGCCATCTGAACACACTGCATAACTCACTCCTTTCTTATTTTAAACTACAGAAGGAATATACACACTTGCAAAAAAACAAACAACAACAACAAAAACGAACAATCTAAAGCACGGAGGGAAGGTGTCCCCTCACCCTTGGGACACACGGCCCAGCTGCCTGGTGCTGCCTCCCACTTTCAGGAGGGGTCACTGCTGGAGACTCAGATTTCAGAGATCGTGAAAACGAAAACTTAACCGTGCTTTCAACCGCCATCATTACCAAAAAACTGCAGCACTGTCCTCACAAAATCCTTGGCATTAAAACAAATAACAGGACATTTACATTTCAGAGTATGAAACAGCACTTTCCTGGGAGATGAAAACCAATTCACCGATTTTCTGACTTCTGACCTTGGAAAAAACACTCCTATTGTATAGCCACCGCTTACATAGTACTATGTGCAGACCTTCTTACGCTAAGAGCTGTACACGGATCAATCCGAACCCTGCAAGGTGGGTGTCACTCACCTGCACTTTATGGTGATGACGACGAGGCACAGAGAGGCTGGGACGGTGAACCCAAGGCCCCATGGCATCAATCGGGAGCTAACCCCCGAGGGAGGGCCCATTCCCAGCAGACCAAGACGCGCCTTTCTGACCAGAGCGCACGCTCTGGGCCCCTCACGGGCTCCCCACACCACGCACCACGCTCCAGCCTGTTCTCCCAGTCCCAGCACGTGCTCCAGACACTGCCCTCTGCTCACACGGAGCTCTCTCGCTGGCACCACCGCATGGTGTCACGTCCTTTCGCACTCTGGGGCCACAGCACGTGTGCATTTGGTCTACAATTCTCCGCCCCCCCCCCCCCCCGTGATTTCTGCAAACTGCCCACCTGTTGTTTTCAGGAGGGTTGGCCCCTTTCCCCAGGCAGGGAGTTGCCCCTCCTGTACTCTTGTCCACGCACAGGCTGCAGCAGGACCACATCTGCTGTGCTGTCATTTACCTTGAAAGTCTGCTTGCCCCCTTGCATCGTGAGCTCTTGGGCACGGGACTGATAAGAGTTGGCATTTCCTGAACACTTCCCATGAGCAGACGTTATGCTAAACACCTCAAAGGACTGTTACACCGAAATCTCACCACAACCCTGTTAGGCAGGCACCAGATCCACCTTACAGATATGGAAACTGAGGCTCAGGGTGGCTAACCAATTTTCCCAGCATGCCCCAACTGGCAAGTGGCAAAGCTAAGGTCTGAGACCCTATCTGCTGCATCCAGGGCCCACACTGTAAGTCTCCTTTATAGTAACTGTCTCTCCATACATGAATGAGGGTCTGTCTTGCAGAGGCTGAGGGAGAAAGAAACCAGGGGCCCACTCAGCTCTGCGCACATCAACAGTCAGATTTCGCTCAGCTTGCTCCATAAACAGACGTTTGCAGTCCTGTCACGTTTTCCTGCGTGATTTCGCCTGGGATTCCCTTGAAGAGGGGCCAGGAAGGGAGGGAGCACAGAGGAGAGCAGGGGGGAGGGGCTGGGGCTCACACAGGAGAAGAGCTGGGCTTCCTCTCTGATGCTCCCACTTGCCGAGACCCTAAGTCTCCACTAAGGCCATCTAAGAACGGCAGGGTCTCCTACTAGTGAGAGATGCAGGTCTGGGTTTCCATCTTCAGATATGACAACAGAAAGAGCATCTTGTAAGACAAAGTGGCTGAAACACAATGTGTACTCTAAGTCAGTTATATAAGTCCGTGGTGTCACATTTGCAAACAAAAAGGCAGCTAGAATATAAAAGAGCGAGACTTGAGTCTAAAAAGAGGAGGCCTAAGTTGAAATCTCAAGACTGACTTACGATTATTTCTCTGAGCCTGTTTCCTCATCTATAAAATGGAAAATAATAAGACCAAACAGGTAGAGTTAATGTGAAGATGGAGAAGGAGCAGGTAAGAAGAACTCGCACCCTTGCACAGGTGTCTAATAA